GTCAAAATGTGCTGATTAATTCTGTACTGAAACCACTGTAATTTGGTATTTTTCGTAATTCTAAATGGCATAATATATATTTTTTTCCAAACTTCATCATCAAATTGAAATATATCATCCCATTTTTTTTTACCTGTTGAAATAGTATCATTTTTACAAAATAAGCTATAAAAATCTCTTATCCCCTTTTTGTTTTTCAAAAACATTTCTATATTAATTGGTAAAAATGGATAGTTAACCTCTACATTTGACATATCTTGTTGTATAATATACTCTCTAATGGCAGTAATTAGACCCTGGTATCGCAAAAAGTTTGTATTAATATCATAAATCTGTTTGAATTCTTGAAATGTGTAAAAAGCATTGGTATTTCTGTCTCTGATTAGATCATCAATTACAATTATTCCTTTATTGTACCATTCCCTGTAAAATATACTTCTATTTTCTATTGAAATATTTTTATTATACCAGATGGGCATTTTGAAATTACTGCTAGGGGACTTATATTTTTCAATAATTTTTCTCCATGCCCTAAATACATCAATCCAAAATAGATTTTTAGTTTTATTTTGACATTTTGAAATATAATCAGTTCCACAATTTGCCAGAATGTTTTTATCACAATATAATTTTAAGATCACTTGCCATTTACCAGAATTCATATATAACCTCCTAACCCACGTTAATTTTAACGAGTCAATAAACGACTGTACATGTAACATTTTAAGACCCCCTTTTACATAATCTTTAACAATGACATCTCTCTTAGCTTTATCTATTTTACTATTCCACAGAAAATTAAAAAGCTCTATATTTAATTTTTTAAGAAAACAATCATCTGGATTTGGTAAAGAGATAAAAAGGTGGTTGAATTGTGAAATTAATAATGATTTTATGATATGTATCCTACCAATAGGAGTCAACAATCTTCTTTTCCAGGTTTTAATCAAAGTTTTGAGTTTTACAAATTTCTTATCGTAATTCAATTTTGTTATCCTATGTAAATCTACATCAAACTCAATACCTAAAAGTGTAAATTTCCTATCCCCCCACTGCAAATTCAATTCAGGATAAAGAATTTCATCACTGTATTTTTTACTACCTATCCAAATAACATGTGTCTTTTCTATGTTTATTTTGAGTCCAGAAATATTTGCAAAACTTTTCAATTCTTTAATTGCCTCTTTTAATGAAATTTGTGTGCCATCTAAAATCAATGTAGTGTCATCAGCATACTGGGAAAGTAAAAGCGGGCAATTGTCAATATTAATACCATTTATATGTTTATTATTTCTCAGTCTTACAGCTAAAATTTCAGCGCATAATATGAATATATATGGAGCTTTTGGATCCCCTTGCCTGCAACCTCTTTTAATATCAAAAAAAGATGATAAATTTCCCCCTTGATTTATTGCAGACTTTGCGTTTGTATGAAAGACTTTTACCCATTTTTTTATGCCATTGCCAAATTTAAAATAATCAAGAACTTTTTCAATAAATTTCCAGGACACTGAGTCGAAAGCCTTTTCAAAATCTATAATTAACAACATTCCTGGTATATTATTTTCATCTGTATATTGCATGACATCATAAACTAACCTAGTATTCTCCCAAACATTACGACCCGAAATAAAACCTGTTTGATCTGTGTTTATTATACTATTTAAAACTGTTTTTATTCTCCCTGCTTTGACCCCGATGCAATCTTATATATAATATTCAGAAGAGAAATTGGTCGCCAATTTTTTAGAAACTGTCTTGGTTTATCCCCTTTAGGTATACATGTTATTATTCCCTGTCTTTGTGTAACTGACAATTGTCCATTAGCGTAACCAAAATTGATTGATCTCACTATAAAGTTATTCAGCTGTTTCCAGAAACATTTTAAAAATTCAACCGTAAAACCATCAGAACCAGGGCTTTTCCCATTTTTCATATTATTTAATGTATGTGATGCTTCTTTAAGAGTTATAATGCCCTCTAAACTATCAGATTCTATATTATTCAGTTTAGGAACATGAAAGTCATGTAAAAAGTTGTCTAAATTAACATCATCTATATTATCATCATTGGTATATAAAGACTCATAAAATAATTTAACTTCTTTAAGTATCTCATTTTGATTAGTTATTATATCCCCATTTTCTTTTTCTATTTTTGGAATTATTTTTGAGGTATAATTTCTGTTTTCGAGATTAAAAAAGTAGTTAGTTGGCTTTTCTCCCTCTTCAACCCATTTAGCTTTAGATCTAATAATGCTACCTCTTAGTTTATGTAATCTTATATTTTCTAATTCTTGTTTTTTCTCCTTTAATTTATCAAAATCAATATTTTCAACCGATTCTAAATGTTTTATAATATCTTTTAAATTGTTTTCTAAATGGTTCTGTTGTTTTTTCTTATGTGAAGCATATGAAATAGTTTTCCCTCTAATTTCTATTAATAACGTTTCAAAAAACAGCTGATCATCTATAACGAATTGGATCTCAGAGTCCAGAATATTGGATATATTGTGTGGATTATACACTGGAAGAGCATATTGGGTTTTAACGTCTAAAATAATTTTGTTTACAATTTCAAGATAGTCTAAATCATGCAATAAAGAATTGTTAAACTTCCATAGTCCTTTCCCCTTCTTAAATTCATTAAATTTTAATATAATAAATGGTATAGAATGGTCAGATCTGTATCCTGGCTCAATATTAGTTTTATTTACACTAGGTAGTAAGTTTTCAGAAATGAGAAAAAAATCTAAGCGGGCTTGCTTAATTGGATTACTTCTTCTCCATGTATATCTTTCATTATCAGGATTCTGTTCCCTATAAACATCAACCGTTCCTAACTCTTCAATTATTTGTAAGATATTTTCTCTAGCTTTTGGGTTATTGATATTTTTATAGCTTTAAATTGTTAAAATCTCCACATATTATAAAACATTCATTTTTAAAAGTATCTATTGATTCTACTATGTTGTCATAAAAAGATGGAGTATCTGAATTTGGCCCATAGATATTTATAAGTGTAATTTGTTTCCCTTCTATTTCTAAATCTAATGCTATGAAATTCCCAGTCAAATCCTTTTTAACCTTTAAAACCTTTACCTCAAAATTATTATTAAATAATATTGCAACACCCCTAGAATTTGACCTCAGAGAGTTAAAGTAACACTCATATCCCCACTCTGTCCTAATTATTCCTTCAATTTCTGGAGTAAAATGAGTTCTAGTTCTACCATATAGTGACCACCTTCAACTAATTGAAGTTTTTGTCACGAAGTTGGGTTTATGCAGCACAAATGACAGACTATATATATATTACATAATAATTAATAAATAATCACTTAGTTGAAGTTAAGAGAAGGAAAATTTAGTTCGAGGAGAGTCCGAGAGAGAGGTCCGAGCAAGCAAGTGATTGGGCAGCCCCCACCGACAAAGCTTGTTTGGAAAAGGGGTAAAAGAAGAGAAGTGGTGAATTAGTATGTAAAGTCTGTTGAAGTAGCTAATTACTCTGCATCTTCAATTTTATAGGTGTGCCTGGAAAGAGATGTTTTGAAAGAGTTGAAAGTGGGTGCATTAACGATGTCCGATGGTAATTTGTTCCAGTCTAGTATGGTACGAGGAAAAAATAATTGTTGTCTAATTAGTGTTTTCAAGTATTGCTGTTGGTATTGGACCTGATGGGAATTTCAAGGAATTCTTCTGGCTCGGTGCATCCTGTCAGTCGTGGATATGGCCACCCTGCCCCGATGTATTTTATAGAACATCTTTAGGCGTGCATCTTTCCTACGATCTGACAGGCTGCGCCAGCCAAGAGTACCTATTCCGAAAGCGATTTGACACATAACAGACTCCTCTCCTCTGGACCATTTCTATTTTGTTGATATTATTTTTTGTGTACGGATCTCAAACAGAGCAAGCATATTCTAAAGAGGGTCTTACCAAGGATTTGTAAGCCTGTTTTTTAAATGTTGTTGAGCTAATTTTTAGGTTTCTTCTGAGAAATCCTAGAGTAGAATTTGCCTTGTTGCAAATCTGATCTACATTAGAGTCCCATATCAAATCTGATCTGAGGGTTATACCTAGGTATTTCACAGAATTAACATGTTTTCTCCCAAAGGGCTAGTTTGTCCAGGTCAGACAGACAGACTGTAGGGTCCTTGCATCTTTCTCTGACGTAATTGTCAGATATACAATGGTATCATCCGCAAACAGTCTGACCGTAGAGTTCAAGCCAATTGGCATATCATTGATATAAAATAGGAACAGAGTGGATCTATATATGGCCTGTGTGGGACTAGGGAGGAAAATGACGTTTAAGGTCATGGGAGCTGGCCCGAGGTACACCCAGTGAATACCAATGTGGGGTCTGGGGAGAACAGGGACATGTTAAGGGGAGGACAGGGACCAGGGACATGTTAAGGGCTATCTCCAGTTTTCTTTGCTGCGGTAACGCCATTACCAACTATCAGGTGTTGTTCTTTTTATGTATAGGGAATCATCTAATAAATAAACAAACTGTAAAAAAAAACTTGCAAATAAACATGTAGGCTTTGAAGTTGGAATCCTTCTGCCAATCTGTGTACGTTAACGTTACAGTACAAATGTAGCACATCAATGGAAAGCCTGAGGCTTATAATGATGTTTTAACTGAAGACACAATTAAACTCTTCTAATTCAAATATTGGAATACTTCATCATGAAATTTTGGCAGAGAAGACACACTTGTCAGTCACTAAATGATTGACCAGCTTTCCTCTTTTTAAAGCTGTTCAGACTTTCAGGTTCACCACTTCAGCTGATGTGTTTTCCGATGATCTCGTGATATATGCTCACTGATAACTCAAAATGTTTATATTTTGATAATTTATTTTACCGTTATGACTTCATTTTATTAACAAAAGGAAAGTATGTCATCTTCAAAAATGTTGCAAATTGAACTGAAAATTCATTTCATTTTACGTCTGTTAAGGTCACACAAAAAATGGCATAAAATGTACTTACTTTGCAAACTGTTTCATTGACATCATAAAATCGGAATGTGATTCCCGACAGAAAGCAGAAGAGTAGTGAGAAAGCCGGTAATGACACGGTCACGTAGGCAATTCTCATGAAGTGTATTCGCAGCATGGTGCCATGAATATTTTCTCTCTTTTCAACTGTATCACTTCCCATGATGAGCGACGGTTTTCCTACTGTGATAAATGAATAACGAAAATCTGAATCCGTTTATCGGAGCTTGTTTGCCGAGATGACGACGGAAGTGTCCCTGTACACAGTAAATTGATTTTACAAATTCACTATGAATTAAGACGGAACAATATCAGTAGAAATTGTTTAAATTGTTTGTAACTTTTGTGAACAATTATCTTTTTATTTTTGGTCATGTGACTAATACTTTTTCTATTGAAAGATTGATTTATCACTCAAAACGCATTTTAGTAGACTATTTTTTTTCGTTTTAATTATACTAATCTGGAATTTATATGACCAAATTTCAACATGGCGACGAAGGTAACGTGCTTTGCTCAAAGTTCCCACATGGCTCATGTTTATTTCCTTGTTTGGCCGCTAAATGCATTGATTAATTCCCCTTTTGTGTTTTATGAATCTGGATCTCACATATTTTAGTAGACTAATAAGTACGCATAACACAGAACGATCCGCTAAGAATTATCAGCGACCAAACATTGATAATTTCCCAGTTACATATGAGCCAGTCAAGCGGCCTACAATACTGTACTGTAATAGTTTCTTTTCAAATGAGTCGTAGCTTATATACCAGGTCTTTGTAAATTCATTTAAACAATTGATCGATGAACTCAGATAATTTCATTCATAGTAATTTCATTATTACGAACTTGTTTTAGGACTGACAGCATACATTTCACAAGGAGGCACGAGTTACTCCCCTTGTACCTATATTTGTCTGCTATATTGAGAGACTCCCAACATAGTGCCAAATTAGGGACCGAAATCATGTTTAAATCTAATTTTGGACCAGATAAATATCTAACATTTGGCCAAAGAAATAAAATGATCACCATTACACACATCTTCACACAAACAACAAACAAAACTTGGAAGATACAAATGTAACGGGAAAGAAAATAGTGTGCTTCCAACGGGGATTGAGCCCTCAATCTCCAGGTTCCTAGTCGGACGCTCTACCACTGAGCTGAAGGGATATTCCCTCTAGCTCAAAGCTAGAAGGCGACAGTAATCCTATGTACAATTAACATCTGCCACACTATACTCCCCCTTTTTAAATGTGTTCATCCTCACACACCACAACCCAGGTTCTTACTCCCTGTCACCACAGAGAGGGCCACGGAGACCATTTGTAACAGAAAAGAGAAAAGTGTGCTTCCACCATAGATCGAACCTAGTCGGACACTTTACCACCTAGCTAAAACCAAGGGAGATTCCCTCTAGCTCGGAGCTAGAAGGCGATCGTAATCCTATGTACCATCAAAATCTGCTACACAAAAGTATACCAAGAGTAAGAAAATTGTTCATTAGATGAAGTTGAGGATGAGTGTCACTTATTATTCAAATGTCAATACTGTAAAATTAGAAGAGAAAAAATATTTGTTATCATCTCACAATATTGTGATAATTTTTCTAACCTTGAAATACTGCAATTCTTTCTACTATTTGTGATCTCATTAAGAGGTCAGTTTTATTTTTAAAAAAAACTTTTTGGGGTGTGTGAGGATTAAATGCTTTTCATTACAGCACAAGGACGTAATTAATTATAATTTATACCTTTTGCATCGTTCTTTGGTGCCTTCTGCAATGTGTATACTCTTTCGCACTCCTAATCATCTTTATATGTATGCTACAATATTTTTTGGACAACTCTTTTGTATCTCTATCTCTTGTCATGAATGCACAGCTGCTCTGCATTACAGCACAAGGAAGTATTTATTTTACACCTTTTGCATCGCCCCTTGGTGTTTTTTGCAGTGCGACTGTTGTTCCTGTTTTGAGAAATGTTGTCTAGAGTCATTTCATATAACTGAACTTTCCTTATTATTTCCCACAAAACAATGGTGGAATTGATAATGTTTCTCAAGTGTGTTGTTTAACTGGAAATATAGTGGTGGGGTTAAATACCACATGTTGTACATCAGTATCTTTTGTTAAAGATAATGAGGTGTATTTGCATTCCACATTTTTATATGCCTAGGGTTGTCACTGTGTAACAGGAGAGGAGAAAGGCTCGATCAACCAGACAGGGATTGGAACCCAGACCTCCAATCTCTTGAAGGACACTCCACCAACTGAGCCACCTGGTCGCTAGTTATCAACCCAGTCCAGCTCCACTACATACCTCCTTCTTTTTTCATAGTCTTCGCCTGCAAGGATATCACTCGTTACACTCGGTTTGGGTATTCCCTTGTGTAGCATTAGTTCACCCGATGGTTGAAAAAAGGTTTGGTTACAAGCACCACTGTAGCAAGACAAAGGAACTCCACAAACACTTAGATGGACGTTCAACCAATTGAGCAACCTGGTCGGAGGCAAACGACCAAGCCCAGTTCTGCTACATTCCACCCTCTTTATCCTAATTCTTTGCTCCCAAAGACAACACTATTTACAGCCAAGAGTTCCGTATCCCCTTGTCAGGCATTCACCTTGCACTTGAAACAAGCATTGGTCACATGCACCACTGTAACAGGAAAAAGAGAAAATATAATGGCCAGGCCGGGGTTCAAGCCTGGGACCCTTCAAACTCTAGACGGACACTCTACCAATTGAGCTACCTGGTTGCTGGCAATCGACCCAGTCCAGTTCTGCTACACCAGAAAGAATTTCTTTATCTATAGAAATGTTGATATGTGGAAAAGTCTTCCTCAAATGATTATTGGTCTTAAATTTCCTATTTATCAGCCACTACCAACATATATAGTCCTTTCTATGTGCCTTCAATGAATGATCATTGGGTTTTTTTCTTTTCATTTATGCAGGATGCAGACTTGGAAAAACCAAAAGACATAAAGTTTGACGGTGTGGTGGTGGACATCTGTTTCCATCCCAGTAAGGATGTGATCGCAGCTGGAGACATCGATGGAGAAGTTTCACTGTAGGTTTTATATGTATCACTTGTCCTTCTGATAAGGATTTAAGATGGAAATAGAAACACAACCACTTACGTAGCCAAAGTACAGTGAACTAAACCAGACACATATTATTTGGCTGGTTTGTAGAGAGTTCCAGATAGTAGAGAGTCTGCTTTAACATTTTTGTTCTGGATAAAATGAGAATTAAGGATACAAAGTGAAAACTACATTTTGTTCATGTATACAATGTATTTTTACTCTTGTTCATTATCAACAATATTAAGTGATTTCACTTCGCAGTATTGATAGAAAATGATAATGTTCCTAAGATAAATTAACATTTCATTTGAATTCAGAATTTGAGTCCAGATTAGCCAGAGTTTAACTACTCAACTACTCTAGATAAAGAAAATTTTCCAGGAATCAAAGTATTTGGCCAGTTTAGATAAAGATCTGTATTGGACAGAGTCTACGACTCTAGTTTATCCAGATTCCATTTTTGTGCTTCCCATCTCCGACTTAATTTTGAGCTAATAAAAACAAGCTAATAAGAAGTTCATCTCTTTTCTCCATTCATCTGGATGTTTGTAGCTAGGGAGGACTGTGTTAATTACAATTCTAGCTCCACTTTTTTATTCCAATACATTTTCCAACATTATGTTTTTTTCCTGTTAAATGTTTAATCACTCCATGTTGATTTTTTGGCAGCCAGAATCCAACTGTAGGTACTTCATTATGCCTACCATATCTTATGTTTCACCAATAATACCTCAATGAATAAGCTTTGCGTAATAAAAATGTTACCAGGTATATGTTATATGTATTTTGTGGACAGCAGCAATATTGATTCAGTTCTGTTAAGGTATTTGATGGTAGTCTTGTGTAAGTATTTTACTCAATGTCATTAATATTGATTTTGTATTATTCTTAATTTATTTGGAAGTACACTGCTATTATAATCTCTTTCTTCATGTTCTTTAACACATTTTCTATATCAGTTGAATCATGTGAGGCCAGGTTGTTTGTGCCATGGGAATGAAAGGAAGAGGAGGAAGGCAAATGTTGATGCCATCACAACTAATATGTACTACTTCTGTTATGTTACATGCAAAACTTACATAAACTGAAGGCTAAGATATTCATTTTTAATGTTCTTTGTTTAGACACTCCTACTCAGCTTCAAGAGAAAACAGTACACTGATGTCATTCAAGAACCACAAGAAAGCCTGTCGAGCCCTGAGGTTTTCTGCTAATGGCGAGGAGCTGTACACAGCCTCCAAGGACAAGTCCATACACGTTGTTGATATGAATACAGGGGCACTAAAGCGCAAGTTAAAAAAGGCACACGAGTAAGATCAATTGTAGATATTTTTGTACATTACATTTCTACTGAACCTTGAATCTATAAAGCTACTAAAGACTCTGAGAGATATTTTTTCCATAGACTTTCAAGTTGATGTATAAATAATACTAGACAAATTAGTTTGTGCGGGAACTAGTCCATTTATAGATACCTTCCATATTGGTTATTTTTTTCAGAAGTTTCTTATTAAATTAAATATGAAGTATATGTTGTATGTTGTAGCTATATATCTTGCCAGGATAACAACAAACAATAAGTGATGACAATGCATGCTTCAGGCACTCCATGGTATTAGACTTGCACAGGCCCAATATTTTAGAAATAATAAAAAAAACTATCAAAATTGCATTGAATGTAAATATAGGTGCTAAATCTGCAAAAACTTAGTGAAAACAAAAATTAAAATTTTTGCTTTTTAAAAGGAGTAAGAGTAAAATTAAATTGTTTTTCTAAAATATGTGGTAAAAAAACAAGTTAAGAAATTTTACTTCCATATCTAAATTTATAAGAATTGTACAAACATTCACAGTTTTTTGGTAGCACACACAGAAACTATTGTTTGAGTTTGTTCTGCATACGTTCAAACCAATTATCTGTAAGGTTGTCTATACAGTATGTTTGTATCGGGAGAAACCTCCTTCTGTTGTTTTAGGTCACCTATACACAGTATGTTTGTATCAGGAGAAAACTTCCTCTGATGTTTTAGGTCTCTTATATACGGTATGTTTGTAACAGGAGAAACCTTCCTCTGATGTTTAAGGTCTCCTATATACAGTATGTTTGTATCAGGAGAAACCTCTCTCTGATGTTTTAGGTCACCTATATACAGTATGTTTGTATCAGGAGAAACCTTCCTCTGTTGTTTTAGGTCACCTATATACAGTATGTTTGTATCAGGAGAAACCTTCCTCTGTTGTTTTAGGTCACCTATATACAGTATGTTTGTAACAGGAGAAACCTTCCTCTGATGTTTTAGGTCACCTATATGCAGTATGTTTGTATCAGGAGAAACCTCCCTCTGATGTTTTAGGTCTCCTATATACAGTATGTTTGTAACAGGAGAAACCTTCCTCTGATGTTTTAGGTCACCTATATGCAGTATGTTTGTATCAGGAGAAACCTCCCTCTGATGTTTTAGGTCCCTATATACAGTATGTTTGTATCAGGATAAACCTTCCTCTGATGTTTTAGGTCCCTATATACAGTATGTTTGTATCAGGAGAAACCTTTCTCTGATGTTTTAGGTCTCCTATATACAGTATGTTTGTATCAGGAGAAACCTTCCTCTGATGCTTTAGGTCACCCATATACAGTATGTTTGTAACAGGAGAAACCTTCCTCTGATGTTTTAGGTCCCTATATACAGTATGTTTGTATCAGGAGAAACCTTTCTCTGATGTTTTAGGTCTGCTATATACAGTATGCTTGTAACAGGAGAAAACTTCCTCTGATGTTTTAGGTCTGCTATATACAGTATGCTTGTAACAGGAGAAAACTTCCTCTGATGTTTTAGGTCTCCTATATACTGTATGTTTGTATCAGGAGAAACCTCCCTCTGATGTTTTAGGTCCCTATATACAGTATGTTTGTATCAGGAGAAACCTCCCTCTGATGTTTTAGGTCACCTATATACAGTATGTTTGTATCAGGAGAAAACTCCCTCTGATGTTTTAGGTCACCTATATACAGTATGTTTGTAACAGGAGAAAACTTCCTCTGATGTTTTAGTTCTCCTATATACAGTATGTTTGTAACAGGAGAAAACTTCCTCTGATGTTTTAGGTCTCCTATATACGGTATGTTTGTATCAGGAGAAACCTTCCTCTGATGCTTTAGGTCACCTATATACAGTATGTTTGTAACAGGAGAAAACTCCCTCTGATGTTTTAGGTCTCCTATATACAGTATGCTTGTAACAGGAGAAAACTTCCTAGCGACTGGGGATGATGACGGACATCTTAAGGTACGTGTTGTGTAAATCTACCTGGTGATAAAACATTGTAAGTTAATTGAAAGTGCCTCTCAAAAGTTGGTTTGTAGTTACTTCTATGTTATTAGTTGCAATATGCAGAGTTGTCATGTTAAAGGCAGCTAGCTACACATCAGAGCAGGTCTTATTTACCAGGGAAGAAATGATCACACAGAATGTGTTTCAATGTGTAATCTAGATATCCAAAACGTGGATCAAGATGACCTGAAAAAGTATGTTTACTAGGTGTTTCAGCTGATATGTGTGTTGTGAATATATAAATTTAACTGAACTGAAAATGGGTTTTTTTATGAGGAGTTCAAGGCCATAAACTGAATTTTCATCATATACTTATTTTCTTCTGAAAAAGCCAGTTATTTTTTGTTTGTTTCATAAATGTATTTGTACAATCTGTAAGACTAGCTTAAAGTCATTCAGGATAAATATTCATCAGTTGATAAAATATAATTGATATTTTTAAAACATGAAAATGATGCTTTTTGATAGGTGTGGGACTTGAGAACTAACAGGGCAGAAATGGAGGTAAAACACAACGAGGAATTCATCAGCGACATGGAGATAGATGATCAACATAAAATTCTCATCACAACCAGGTGATGAACAACTCTTGTTCCCCATCATTAGTACAGCTCCACCAAGTATTATGTTAAGTGTTTATAGTCTGCTTTGTCTGAAAAGTCTAAAACAGTCAAACTTTATACCTGCCAACAAAGCTTAAGGACATGGTAAGTCTGTTATCAATAGATAAATGGCAGTGATTGATTTCCTGTCTTTGTAGAGCAAGAAATTGAGTGATGTGTAAGCTTGCTGATGGTCCAATGTCTGTTTTAAGACACTGAATTTCTTCATTTTATGTAAATATTCTTTATTCTAGTAAAATTTATAATATATCCAGATTATCACCTGACCTTATCACACACCCTTCGCTCCCCACCAACTGAAAAATTGATTGATTCTTAAAAGGAATACACTACTTCGGCCAAAGGAGTAATCGAAATTCAACAGAAGAGATGGCCAGACAACATCAAATGGGGAGTCTAGGAAAATTTAATCAAGCTCACATGTTTCTGGGGGTGATGATTTGGAGTGAACTGTTACTGGGGGTGAGAATTGTTCCCAGAGGGACATGTTAATGAATTGTTACTAGGGGGGCTGAGTTAGAATTAATTGTTACTAGGGGTGGGGGGCTGAGTTAGAATTAATTGTTACTAGGGGTGGGGGGCTGAGTTAGAATTAATTGTTACTAGGGGTGGGGGGGAGGGGCTGAGTTAGAATGAATTATTACTAGGGGGCAAGTTAATGATGAGTTAAAATACAAAAAATATTAGGAGGGCAAGTTAATGATGATCAGAATAAATTGTTCTTAGGGGGAAAGTTAATGATGAGTTAAAATAAATAATCACTAGGAGGGCAAGTTAATGATGATTAGAATAAATTGTTCTTAGGGGGGGGAAAGTTAATGATGAGTTAAAATAAATAATTACTAGGAGGGCAAGTTAATGAAGAGTTAAAATAAATAATTACTATGATGGCAAGTTAATGATGAGTAAGAATGAATAATTACTAAGAGGGCAAGTTAATGATGAGGAGGAATAAATAATTGCTAGGAGGGCAAGTTAATGATGAGGAGGAATGAATAATTGCTAGGAGGGCAAGTTAATGATGAGTTAGAATAAATAATTGCTAGGAGGGCAAGTAAATGACGAGTTAGAATAAATAATTACTATGAGGGCAAGTAAATGATGAGTTAGAATAAATAATTGCTAGGAGGGCAAGTTAATGATGAGTAAGAATGAATAATTACTAAGAGGGCAAGTTAATGATGAGGAGGAATAAATAATTGCTAAGAGGGCAAGTTAATGATGAGGAGGAATGAATAATTGCTAGGAGGGCAAGTTAATGATGAGTTAGAATAAATAGTTGCTAGGAGGGCAAGTAAATGACGAGTTAGAATAAATAATTACTATGAGGGCAAGTAAATGATGTGTTGGAATAAATAATTGCTAGGAGGGCAAGTTAATGATGAGTTAGAATAAATAATTACTATGAGGGCAAGTTAATGAAGAGTTAGAATGAACTGTTATTAGGGTTGATGACAACTTTTAGGCAATGCTTTGATAAAAATCCACACCACTGATTCCTTTACAATGAAAATGTATTTATACCCTGTCTACTTTGTTCGCAAGGATATATAGGAATCTGTCTGTCCATGAACCTCGTAAGTGCAACTCCTCCAAAAATGTTAGTTGGATATTTTTGTTACTTGGCACAGTGAAAGTCCATCATATTTAGATGTTCACAAAGAAATGATTTTGCTGTTCAACTATATGTTCCTGTAGTTTACTTTAAATTTCTGCTCCAGAAACCTCGTAACTACAACTCCTCCCTATCTATTTGTTGGATATTTTAGTAACTTGGCACAGTGAAGGTCCATCATATGTAGAAGTGCATGAAGGAAGGGGTTTGTGATAAGGATATCATATCCCCTGCAAATAGAGTTTGAATACCTAGATAAAAAGATAAAATGAAGTGGGGTATATCTTTGTGAGCTAAGTACTCTCTGTCTCTCTAATACGTTTAGTATGAATAGGAGCATGATATGTATTTTACTGAATACTTATGATGATATCAACATTTCCGTTGTTCAGCCTCAGTTGAAGCGATCTGACTATGCTCTGTTTAATACCTGGTCATAGATTCAGATCTATAATTGCCTATTTATTGTTCTGGGATCTGCTTCTTGTCTGATCCTGTAAATTTCTTTCCCTCTTGGGCCTCAGTTTCATTCCAGTGTTTACTAATTATAAATCAGACAGCAAATTACCTTCAAGTTTCTCCAATACAATGTGTTGTGGTTCCTGCATCCAATTTTGTACGTGCATTCTGCAACTTGCTCTTTAAATGATTTATCCTTAGGGTGTACAAGGCTATTATAAAGCGTCTTGTGGGGCCTTAAGGCTGTGATATCATCCCTGGATGGTCTTGTGGAGCCTTAAGGCTGTGATATCATCCCTGGATGGTCTTGTGGGGCCTTAAGGCTGTGATATCATCCCTGAA